GCTGTCTCTGGTAATGACGGCATTTGGGTTCTGGTGTGAGTCCTGGCTTCCTTGCTTTTGATCCAACTCCCTGCTAATGTGCCAGCTCTGTTCTAATGCACCTGGGAAAGCAGCAGAAGGTAGCCCAAGTGCTTGGGCCCCTTTCACCCAAGTGGGGGACCTGGAGAAATTCTAAGCTCCTGGCTTTCGCCTGGCTCAGCCCTGGCCATTATGACCAATTGGAGAGTGAACTAGCAGGTGGAAGGTTTCTCTGTCTTATTCTCCTTGTCCCTCTATCTCTGTAACTCTGCCTTTCAAATAAATAATAAAATCTTTCACAAACATAAAGTAACTAAACTTCTGTCATCTCATCTGATCATGACCCTGGGTTGTTGATCAGATTTTGCTAGGTTTACGGTCCAGTATCCAGTGACTTAAAGCAAAAAATAAATGTGTTTCTCCTTCAAGGTGTAGGTGTAAGTTTGCTGTGGCCTGTCTCATGTGTGTTCTCCTCCTGGAATCCAGGCTAAAGGATCACTGTCACTCCCCCTCTTCGTGGAGGAACGACACTAGACCCTGTGCTGTTCTTTTGTCTGCTCGGCCCTCCCCGGGTTTGCTGCTGGTTCTTCCCGGGTTGGCTACCGTCCTTCCACCTCCGTGGAAGGGCGGTTCCCCCTGCCACTTTCCCCACTTCCGCGGGGGAGCGGCACACCGCCGGCCGGCTCTCTCGGGGGCTGCTCAGATGTTATTCAGATGTTCCCCTTAGATGTTCCTCATGCATGTTGTCTCTCTCCTCCTTTATAGTCCTCTTCCACCAATCCCAACTCTGCTACCCACACGCCAAGTACGCTGCTCTCCTCCAATCAGGAGCAGGATCAGCTCCTGCAGGTTACTGGTCGAACTGAAGGCAGCTGTGTAAAAGTTGTTTACTCCTCTCCCAGCGCCATATTGTGGGAGAGCAGATGCATAGAATAAGTCTTAATTCCAGTAACTTAGTCTAGTCCGAGTTGCTCCCCACAGATCACCCCTCCTGGGACCTGCTTTTCTTGTGGCAGAGTGGAAATGGCAAAACAGAACCATAGAAATACTGTTTTTTTTTTTTTACATTTTATTTAAGTTACACAAGTTTCATGTATTTCATGTAAACATATTTAGGATGATAGTGACATTCCCCCGCCAATCCTTCTTCCCACCCACACTGCAACCCTTCCTCTCCACCACCTGACATTCCCACTCTTATTTTTAACAAAGATCTATTTTCGGTTTACTTAATTATCATATAGTTAACCCTACACTAAGTGAAAGAGTTCAACAAATAATATGAGGAGAAAAAAAAACAAAAACTAAAAACACTGTTCTTCAACAGAAAAGGCAAAGGCTATAAATAATCATCGAATCTCACAATGTCTATTTCACTCCAATACATTACACTTCAGGTACTGTATTAGTGACCTCAGATCAGGAAAAGCATTTGATATCTGTCTTTTTGGGACTGGCTTATTTCACTAAGCACAATGGTTTCCAGTTGTGTCCACCTTGTTGCAAAAGACAGAATTTCATTTTTTTACAGCTGACTAGTACTCAATAGTGTATATATACCATAATTTCTCCAGTCAACAACTGATGTACATCTGGGTTGATTCCATATTTAGCTATTGTAGATTATGCTGAGATGAACACTTTTGTATGCTGATTTCTTTTGGTTTTGGTAAATTCCCATGAGTGGGATGGCTGGATTTCTGAGGTGTCTCCATACTGTCTTCCACAGTGGCTGCACCAGTTTACATTCCCAACAACATTGAGCGAGGGTACCTTTTTCCCCATATCCTTGATAGCATTTGCTATTTGTTGATTTCTGTATGAGAGCTGTTCTAACTGGATTGTGTTAAAACCTCACTATGGTTTTGATTTGCATTTCTCTGATGGCTAGTGATTCTGAGCATTTTCTTAAGTGTCTGTTGGCCATTTGAAATTCCTCTTTTGGAAAATGCCTATTCAAGTCCTTTGTCCATTTCTAAACTGGATTGTTTGTTTTGTTATTGTTGAATTTCTGGAGCTCTTTATAGATTCTGGATGTTAATCCTTTATCAGTTGTGTAGTTTGTGAATATTTTCCCCATTCTGTCAGTTGCCTCTTCACTTTGCTGAGTGTTTCTTTTGCAGTGCAGAAGCTTCTCAGCTTGATGTAATCCCACTTGTCAATTATGGCTTTGATTGCCTGTGCTTCTGGGGTCTTTTTCAAGAAGTCTTCACTTATGCCAATGTCTTACAGAGTTTCTCCACTGTTCTCTAGTAATTTGATTGTATCACGTCTTAGATTTAGGTCTTTGATCCACTGTGAGTGGATTTTTGTGTAAAGTGTAAGATAGGGATCTAGTTTCATACTTCTGCACGTGGAGACCCAGTTTCCCCAGCACCTTTGTTAAAAAGACTGTCCTTGCTCCAAGGCAAATCTATAAATGTGATATATCACATTAACAAACTAAAGAACAAAAGCCATACAGTTATTTCAATAGATGTATAGAAAACATCTGATAAAATACAACATCCTTTCATGATGAATGTCGCTCCCCCTCTCGCGGAGGAACGACACTAGACCCTGTGCGGTTCTTTTTGCCCGGCCCTTCCTGGGTTAGCTGCCGTTCCCTCACTCACAGAGGAACGACGCTGTCCCAGGTTAGCTGCCGCCCCCACCCTGGGTTTGCTGCCGGCACCCCCGCCTCTGCGAAGTGGGGGCACCCCCGCCGCTTTCCCCGCTTCCACGGAGGAGCAGCACACTGCCGGCCGGCTCTCTCAGGGGCTGCTCAGATGGTCCTCAGATGTTCTGGTGCATGGTGTCTCTCTCTTCCTTTATAGTCCTCTTCCACCAATCCCAACTCTGCTACCCACACGCCGAGCACGCTGCTCTCCTCCAATCAGGAGCAGGATCAGCTCCTGCAGCTTATCAGTCAAACCGGTGAGGCAGCTGTGTAGAAGTTGTTTGCTGTCGCTCAGCGCCATATTGTGGGAGATCAGATGCATATAATTAGTCTTAGCAGTTCCAGTAATTTAGTCTAGTCTCAGTTGCTCCCCACAATGAAAACCTTAAGCAAATTGGATATAGAAGGAACATTCTTCAACAAAATCAAGGAAAATTATGACAAACCCATGGCCAGCATACTATTGAATGGGGAAAAGCTGGAAGTATTCCTACTAAGATCTGGAACCAGACAAGGATGCCCACTCTTACCACTGCTATTTAATATATTTCTGGAAGTTTTATCCAGAGCCATTAGGCAAGAAAGAGAAATCAAAAGGATACCAATTGGAAAGAAGGAAAATCAAGCTATCCCTATTTTCATATGAAATGATTCTATATATAGGGGATCCAAAAGACTTCACTAAGAGAGTGTTGGAACTCATAAAAGAGTTTGGTAAAGTGTCAGGATATAAAATCAAAATGGAAAAATCATTAGCTTTTGTATATACAAACAATATCATGGCTGAGAAAGAACTTTTAAGATCAGTCCCAATCACAGTAGCTCCAAAAAGAATTAAATACCTTGAAATAAATTTAACCAAGGACATCAAAGATCTCTACAATGAAGATTACAGAACACTAAAGAAAGAAATAAAAGAAGACACTAAAAAATGGGGGAAAAATTTTCCATGTTCATGGATTGGAGGAATCAACATCATCAAAATGTTCATACAACCAAAAGCAATTTACAGATTGAATGCAGTCCGAATCAAAGCACCAATGACATTCTTCACAGATCAAGAAAAAAATTTGCTAAAATTCATATGGAAACACAAGAGACCCCGAATAGCCAAAGTAATCTTATACTACAAAAGCTAAGCTGGAGGCATCATAATACCTGATTTCAAGACATACTAAAGGGCAGTTATAATCCAAAAACCTGGAATTGGCACAAAAACAGACTTGTAGACCAATGAAACAGAATAGAAACTCCAGAAATCAATGCATGCATCTACAACGAACTTATCTTTGATAAAGGAGCTAAAATCAATCCCTGTAGCATAGAAAGGCTCAACGCTTCTCCTTGAAAGTGGCACACTAAGGGGGCCGGTGCTGTGGCACAGCGGAATAAAGCCCTGGCCTGAAGCACTGGCATCCCATGTGGGTGCCGGTTCTAGTCCCGGCTGCTTCTCTTCCAATCCAGCTTTCTGCTGTGGCCTGGGAAAGCAGTAGAAGATGGCTCAAGTCCTTGGGCCCCTTCCAGCCATTGTGGCCATCTGGGGAGTGAACCAGCAGATGGAAGATGTCTCTCTTTGTCTCTACTTCTCACTGTAACTCTTTCTTTCAAATAGATAAAATAAATCTTTTTTAAAAAAAGAAAGTGGCATACTATTTCCACTCATATTTCTTAGGCACAGTCAGAAGAGATGGAGGAGTGTAATTATATCACAGGGAGGGCAGTTAAAAACTCTTAAAAATAATTCTACCACACAGAAAATGTAAGGTGGCATAAATATGATTGTGATATTATTTTAAAATTAATAGTGAACAGAAGGAGGGAGAGAAGGAGAAAGAGGTCTCATCTGCTAGTTCACTTCCTAGATATGTGGGAGTCACTCAATCCAGGTTTCCCATGTGGGTGGCAGGGTCCCAGGTATTTGAGCCATCACCTGGTGCCTACCACAGTGCTTGCTTAGTATCAGGAAGCTGGAATGAGGAGAAGAGCTGAGACTGAAACACAGGTACTCTAACAAGGGATATAAACACTGTACCAAATTTCTTGCCCCAGTTCAAGGAACCAGTATTATGAATCTCATGGGCCATTTTAGTCTCAGAAGCCTCATAGTAAGAGAAGTTAGAATAATATATAATAAATGACCACTTTTGTGCCTTTAATAAATAGCAAGCGACTATTTTAGTACCCTTTTTAAGAAACTTATAATAGTAAGATGTATATGAATAAAATGAGTTCCTCTTGATGCAGAAAGATATTTTACAGTTACACATCTCTAATGGCCGATTGAGTGCTGACTGATACTTGGTGTTCCAATCTTCTTTTTCAGTGAGAAATGCTGCAGATGAAGATAATGAGCAACCTGAAGAATGTGACCTCAATGACAGCTTTCAAGAGGAAGAGGAAGAAGAATGTGATCCAACAGATGAAGATCCTGATTGGGAACCAGGAAGGGAAGATGAGGAGAAGGAAGATGTGGAAGAGCTTTTGAGAGAAGCTAAAAAATTTTTGAGGAGAAAGAAGTGACCCTTTTTTGCAATAATAAATGATTCACATGTCCTTTTTCTTTATGGAAGAAAATCAATAAGTAGGTACTTATTTTGGTAGTTACAACAGCTTTTACTATTGATTCACTGCAAAGGAGACACTGAAATGTCAGCCTTCAATGTAGTAGATTTTGTTACCTTTTCTGTCCTATTTAAAGTATCTGGAAATAGGAAAAGGACAGAAGGTAAAGAGTAGTAATTTGATATTTTTCATGTTATTTGTGTGTTGGTAATAAAAAGTGAAAAGCATAGGTTGCACAAAATTTTGGTCCTTTTTTCCAGAGCTTCTGTCCTCATGGAGCATGGTGTATGTACAGGTAAATTACCTGATGGTGGGAAAGCACGTTTCTTTCATTGTTATCAAAGTAATTTTTTAAACAGAACCAAGGTTTTAAAAATGACAGCCATCACATAATGGCTATTATTTTTCTAGCACTGTAGATATGAGCTTTGCAATTTCATTTATTACTTTTATCCTTTGAGAGTTTGGGAAAATAGCACCTAATGGATACTGAAAGTAGAATCAACTAGGTGATAGTAGAGAAACGTTCACCATGCAGAGAATGCTATGCTTTGTCCCATATTTGTAATTTACTGTATGTCAGTCTAAAGGTAGAAAAATTCAAAGACTTTGACAGTTTTTGTAAAATGAAGTCTCATCTGATTAACTCTCAAAGTACTACCTTAATATTACATTGTTTTTTTTTTTTTTAAAGATTTATTTATTTCTATTTCTTCAAAAACTTGCACAGGAAATTTGATAGGGATTGCATTAAATCTGTAGATTACTTTGAGTAATTGATATCTTCACTGTCAATTATATTGTCTATGGCTACCTGTTTGTGACTTTTTAAAAAAATGTATTTATTTGAGAGGCAGAGTTGGAGAGAGAGGGAGAGACAGAGAGAGACAGGTCTTCCATTTGCTGGTTCACTCCTCAAATGGCTGCAATCTCTGGAGCTGAGTCAATCAGAAACCAGGGAGCCAAGAGGTTCTTCCAGGTCTCCCCTGTAGGTGCAGGGGCCCAAGTATTTGGGTCATCTTCTGCAGCTTTCCCAGGCCATCAACAGGCCTGGATCGGAAGTGGAACAGCTGGGACTTGAACCAGCACCCATATGGGATGCTGGTGCAACAGGTAGATGCTTAAGCTACTATGCCATAGCCATAGCCCTGGCCCCACATTAGTTATTTTAACCTCAGATAAAAATAGCAAATTGTTGGCCACTCTTCAAGATTTTGGGTGCTTGTATCAAGAATAAGCCTCTCATTCTCAAGTTTTATGAAGTATATTTCTTTTTTCCCCCAGAGGTCTTTTTTAATTTATTTTTCTTTTTTAAACTTTCATTTAATAAATATAAATTTCCAAAGTACAACTTTTGGATTATAGTGGCTTTTCCCCCCAGTAACCTCCCTCCTACCTGCAACCCTCCCATCTTCCACTCCCTCTCCCATCCCATTCACATCAAGATTCATTTTCAATTATCTTTATATAGAGAAAATCAATTTGGTATATACTAAGTAAAGATTTCAACAGTTTGCACCCACACAGAAACACAAAATATAAAGTACTGTTTGAGTACTAGTTATTCCGTTAATTCACATAGTACAACACATTAAGGACAGAGATGCCACATGGGGAGTAAGTGCACAGTGACTCCTGTTGTTGATTTAACAATTGACACTCTTATTTATGATGTCAGTAATCACCCGAGGCTCTTGTCATGAGCTGCCAAGGCTATGGAAGCCTCTTGAGTTCACCAACTCTGATCTTATTTAGACAAGGCCATAGTCAAAGTGGAAGTTCTCTCCTCCCTTCAGAGAAAGGCACCTCCTTCTTTGATGGCCGTTTCTTTCTACTGGGATCTCACTCACAGAAATCTTTGATTTAGGTAATTTTTGTGTGTGTGTGTGCCACAGTGTCTTGGCTTTCCATGCCTAAAATACTCTCATGGGCTCTTCAGCCAAATCCGAATGCCTTAAGGACTGATCTTGAGGCCAGAGCGCTGTTTAGGACATCTGCCATTCTATGAGTGTGCTGTGTAAGGCCCCACCTTGGCCACACTATTTAACATTTTAGCATCTTCTGATCCCGTATATTTAGCTTTACTTTTTTCCATAACACATAATTCTTTATATAGTGTGCAATTTATTTGTGTTTTTTCATTATGTGGTATTTTTTGTTTATTTTTAACAATATTATACGGGGCTGGTGCTGTGGAGTAGTGGGTTAATCCTCCACCTGTGGCACCGGCATCCCATATGGGCACCAGTTCTAGTCCCAGATGCTCCTCTTCCTGTCCGGCTCTCTGCTGTAGCCTGAGAAAGCAGTAGAAGATGGCCCAAGTGCTTGGGCCCCTGCACCCACATGGGAGACCAGGAAGAAGCACTTGGCTCCTGGCTTCAAATTGGCGCAGCTCCAGCTGTTGTGGCCATTTGGGGAGTGAACCATTGGACGGAAGACCTTTCTCTCTCTCTTCCTCTCACTGTCTGTGGCTCTTCCTCTCAAATAAATAAATAAAATCTTTAAAAAAACCTTAATATTATTTTTGAGAAAACAGTTTAAATTTACATTTCAATCAAAGGTGTAAATGTCCCACTAAATAAAGAGTTCAATATGCTTAGTTCAGCAGAACAATAGGCAAGGGCTATAAGCAATAATCAAATGAAAATAATCAAATGTTCAACCTCATTCATGTAAAGTAAATTTTAATAGTTACAATTTATATTTGCTTTTCCTTCTCACTCTATTAGAATATGAACTCCATCAGGACAGGAATTTTATCCATTTATTTCACTGCTAAATCCCAGTGCCTGGGACATAACTTGTACTTAGTACACAATTCTTGAGTGGATAAATGTCTACTTGGATATTTTTGATCATGACAAGAAGAGTAGCATAGCACAGACAACAGCAAGACTACAGAGTTTTCAGTAATAAATGGTGGAAAGGAGATAAAGGTATTGATTGCAGTCACTCTGGAGAAATTTAGAGATGAATGTAAGTGGTAGAGGTGTGTTTTGTGTTTCTACAGTGAGTACACAGAGTATGTTTTATTGGTGATAAAGAGGAATCTGTGGAGAGGGAATTTCAGATTGTTGTGAATGTTTGAGTCTTAAGGACTGGATAATTACACTGCTATTAAGATTTTTTTAATTTAACCAAATTTATTAAAAAAGTGATTCTCATGTTAGCTGTGGATCAGCAACTCCTGTGAAACTCTTTAAAAAAATAGATGCTAGGCTCCATTAGAGACTTACTGAGTCAGTCTCTCAGATGGGGCTCCATCATTAGTTTTAAAGCCAGCAAAGAAACACCCACACACTGTACTTTCTGGTATCAAGGATGAGATGTTGTTGAAGGAGAGTGTCTGAAACGCAGGTCATACGAACCTACTTACACATATCTCTAATGAGCACTTCAGTACAGCCTAACAATGCAAACCAAGCAGACTCTGGGATATCTCAAATGGAAATTAATTGTTCCAAAGTTTGGGATTACTCCATGAGACTTATTTTTCATAAGTATGAAAGATGGAAAACCAGGGCTAGAAGTAGCTAATATTTCTAAAACCACAAAATTATAAGTATAGTGCTTCCACCAGCATTATACGATTTTTTTTTTTTTTTTGGACAGGCAGAGTGGACAGTGAGAGAGAGAGAGAGAAAGGTCTTCCTTTTGCCGTTGGTTCACCCTCCAATGGCCGCCGCGGCTGGCGCACCGCGCTGATCTGATGGCAGGAGCCAGGTACTTCTCCTGGTTTCCCATGGGGTGCAGGGCCCAAGGACTTGGACCATCCTCCACTGCACTCCCAGGCCATAGCAGAGAGCTGGCCTGGAAGAGGGGCAACCGGGACAGAATCCGGCGCCCCGACCGGGACTAGAACCCGGTGTGCTGGCGCCGCAAGGCGGAGGATTAGCCTAGTGAGCCGCGGCGCCGGCAAGGTTTTAAACTTGATTAGCTGTGAGTTTAGCAGCTCACACTGGTGCTAACTACACTATCAGAGCACTTCCTCAGTTGACATGCCACAGATGGCATTGGATCTGTGTAGACTGCAGGGAAGTCTGAGGTAAGGAAATTACAAAATGAACAGCCAAAGGACATGGAAAATAAATGTCTCCAATTTGAAATTTTAGTCTATCTTTCTGAATAGATTAAAATCATCCTTCTGAAAAAAGTCAATAGTTTGAAATTTCAAACTATTTAGAAACAAGCAATAATAAGAATATTTTGTTGTTTATCAAATAGAATGTACTTGAAAGAGAATAACATATAATCTTAAATATGCATATACATATATATGGAAAAACATTAAAAATAAATGAAGTAAGTGTTTCACTTAAAAAGCAAACACAAAGCATCAAATAAACACAAGGGAAGTGGGACAGAATAAAGTTCAGATAAGACTTCAAAAAGCAATAGCTGAGATCAATAAGACAAATATAGACTTTGAAATGATCAATTAGACAACTCATAGCAAAACAAAAAAGCAAATATTAGAAATGAAAGTGTTCTCAATGTAGATGTTTTAAAAATGTTAAAGGAAAAGAATGTATATAAAATAATGTCAATAAATTTGTAAGCATATGGCTTTCTACAAAAATATAATTGACCAAAATTTACCTTAAAAAATTTTAATTCTGAACAGATAACCACAGAGGAAATGGAAACCATTCAGAGCCCTACAACTAGTATAGTACTAGAACCTTTGTATTAAAGTGAGTTCTATCAAACATTTATTTAACAAATAATTCCAAGAATTAAGATTACCAAAGTGTTCATATAACTTAAAGCAATCTACAGATATAAACAATACCCATCAAAATACCAATGATATTCTTCACAGAATTAGAAAAAGCTGTTCCAAAATTCATATGGAAGCAAAAAAGACCCCAAATAAACACAAGAATCTTGAACAAAAGGAAAAATTTGTAGGCATCACATTACCTGATTTCAAGATATTCCTCAGTGCTACTGTATCCAAAACAACTTGCATATAAACAGACACATAGACCAGTGGAACAGAATGGAGATCCCAGAAATTAATCCACACATCCATAGCAAACTGATGTTTGGCAAACGTATCAAAAATACACACTGGGGAAAGGACAGTCTCTTCAATAAATGGCTGAAGAAACTAAATGTCCACATCCAGAAGACTGACCCTCACCTTGCACCATATACGAAACTCGACTCAAAATGATAAAAAGATCTAAATGCAAGTCTTGAAACTATGGAGAGTAGAAGTTTGGA